GTCGGGGCGCCTGGCGGGGTCCCCGCTGCCAGCTCCCGCCGGGCAGCGCCTGCCCCTCGGGCTCTCCGCGCCGCTTGCAGTCCAGGTCAGCAGGAGCAGGGGCTGCCCCTGCGGTCTGGGTGCTGAGCCGCGTGTGTGTTGCCGTTCACCTTCTCATAACCTTTGTTTTTTTCAATTTTGAGTCATCATGCCAACATTGGTATTGCACTGGCACTAAATGGTGGGCAAAATTGTTTTCCTGAGAGCAGCAGAAGAGCGTTTGTTGGTTCCAAAGGTGAACGTTTTTTTATATATATACATTTACAAAGCTCCCCGCGTAGAGGGTTGGGTGGCACAGTGGGCTTAGTGCGATGGTCAGAGTTCAAACCCTACCGTAGGTCACAAATGCGAAGGATGTAGATTGTCCTGACAGACACTGATACTACAGAATAATTAAAACCTTTGGCACGATTGACAGCCATTGCTTGAGAAGTCTAGGATGTATGTGCAGACAGAAATCAGAGCTGCAGGTCGTGTTGAAGGAGCTTTGGCAGACCTGGATGTGCTTCCACAATGCCTGCCTACCCTGATCCCAACTCTAGGGTATTCATTTCCATGAATAAAAATTAACAATTGAGGAGTAATGAACTCGAATTGCAAAGGGAAAGAAACTATTGAAGTAGTTACACACTTTAACTTTGTGTATTCAAACGTGGCATTTTTTCCACACCCTTTTGATTTTTCTTAGGGTTTTTCCTTGTTTATTGTAAGAATTGTTTTTCCTGCAGCTAAAAAGCAGAAGAAAATAAGCTTTGTTTCCCTTTGGCCTTATCCACAGAATGGCACAGCAGCAAGCACTGAGATTTCGTGGCCCAGCTCCCCCACCAAACGCAGTCATGAGAGGCCCACCGCCTCTCATGCGACCACCTCCACCTTTTGGTATGATGCGAGGTCCTCCTCCACCACCTCGCCCCCCTTTTGGACGTCCTCCATTTGATCCAAACATGCCTCCGATGCCACCTCCGGGAGGGATTCCTCCGCCAATGGGACCTCCACATTTACAGGTAAAGAATGGGAGATTTTCTTGGTTTGCTGAGTTGGGATTTAGGGATTTTTCTTGTTTGTTTTCACGTGTGGAAATAATAAGAGGAGAGGCATTAAGATGGCTGTAAAATAGCAGGGCATGATGAAAACATAAGGCTCGTGCATGGTATTGTAAAACTAATGCATACCTGTGGTATGTAAATGCAACTTCTGTTTAGCTCCTTGAGGCAATTCTAAATTAATCAATTATGCCGTTAGGATACGCTCACCAACAGAGTCTTTATTTACTAAAACCTGATTTTGTGTTGGCGCCCTGTGGCCATGCGGAATGCAGGATTCGGCTGTGCTCGGATTTGTGAACGCCTCAAAGCAGGCATGTGAAGCGTACATCAGCCTTCCAGGCTTACCTTAGTTCTGCCTCTATTCGCTTAGTGCGGTAACGATGGATGCGCACAAAGACTGACAGAGAAGGTGCAGCTGAATTCTGTGTGGGTTCCAGCATGAGCCACACCTGCCATCGCTGCAGTAGTTTATTATTACTGATCACCAAGGGATTGGTTAGGTGGGCAGGTAGCAATTCTGAGAAGCAGGTATATAATCAGTGACCAGGTATGTTTTGCTTCAGCACTGTGCTCAGGAGGATGCATTGTTAGTTATGCACCAAAATTGTCAACACACTGACAAAGAAAACTTTAATGTTTGAAAAAAACCCTAAGAGCAGGCTTAGTGTTTGACTGGAGCAGCTGCAGGTGGTCCTTGTGCTGACATAAGTTTACTCTGGCAGAGGGAGAATGCTCTTTGTCTTATGTTTGTTGTTGTGGCGCTTTGTTTTTTTAAAACTTAGAGCATTCCTAGCACCTACAGAGATAGTATGAGCCTGTTGAGGTCAAGTAAGGTAGATTTCTGTCTGCATTTCATGGTGATGTATGTTTGAGTTCTTTTGCCTACCTTTCAGAGACTTGGACGGTTTGAAAGGTACAACACATTTGTGAATAAGAAATGTATTGTTTCAATAGAGTGGTAGGAGTACAGTGCTACTAAGGCAGTGTAATTACTGTGTGGGACTGCAGGCGGGCCTATAAGGAGGTGAATAGTACTATGTGGTTTATAAATAATGGTTTAAATCCACTATTTGTAATAAAATAGTGAAAACTTTAGTGCTGTGAAATTTATTTTAAAATGTAGGGATGTGGGCAAGATGGAAAAAGAACATGCTGACATAGGTTATTTTGTGGTATTTTAGGCCCTGCGTTGCATATGTTTTTTGGCAGCAGGGCTATGGGAGCTTTTTTCCACATTATTCTTAATGCAGATTGGTTCACTGTATAGCTCTGCAGACAGCTTTGTGTGAAATGGAGGGAGCGGTATGAGAGAAAGGAAAGAAGCAGGAACAAGGGCTTAAGCTGGACTTCATCTGAAATAAACTAACAACAAATTGTAGTTTTAATTTTGTGTGCTGTCATCATCCCAAGCACAAGATTTCAAGAAGAAACCAGTGCATGTTTTCCGTCTGGAACATAAAGCCTCTTGTTAGAACTTGGAGTGCTCAGGGAGGTGTGAAGTAGCTATTCATTTCATTGAAACATTCTCAGCTGAACAAAAGTCCTGTGGCACTGAAGACTGAAACAGTACCTTTGAGGGGTGTAAACAGCCCCACTCACCTCGAATGTCATCTTTTCCTTTCATTCAGTACTAGGGGCCTTGTTCTATGGTATGTTTTCATGCTCAGCTTAAGTTTATTTATTTTCACCTACTGCACCTTTGTTCTGGTGCTTTATGATCCCATTTTCCCTCTTGGTGTTAATATTCAGGTGCCCATGCGTTGCCTTGAAAGCTCTGAAGCAATGAAGAGTGTCAGAGTGTGCAGTGGAACTCAGACTGAGAGGGGAAAACAGGACCTTGTTTCCTTCTTGCAGTTTCAAGAATCAGCCAGAGTTAATTGAAGCCCCAAGCCTAGCAGCTGATGTCTCCTTGATTTATGTGTTTGATTTATATTCTGAATGTGCTTCAGCTCTCGGCTCTTGCATCATAGCTGGTTTGTCATGCCATGCAGTAAGCATGTCTTCTACAATGCATTACCATGCATGGAATCCATGCACCAAGCATGTCTAAATTTTTCATGCCATGTTAGCACTGTGCTCTGCTTTGCACCGCGTGCTTGGTTTTTAGCTTCTCGTCCTGCTTCTGGTGCAAGGGAAGACATGATGTTGGAAGGTCCTGTGGTAGAAATGAAGGAGAGGTGTGCTTCAGTGGAGCTGAAGGGTGTTCTGGATCCCTGGCTGTACACCTGGCATCCCCCCCTCGCTCCCTGGAATGCCCCGGAATAGTCTAACCCCCTTTTTTTTGGTGTATTGGGTCTGGCTGAGATGAAGTTAATTTTCCCTGTAGCAGCCCTCGTAGTGCTGTGCTTTGTATCAATAGCTGGAAGGGTGTTGATAACACACCAGTGTTTTGGCTGCTGCTGAGCGGTCCTCATGCAGCATCAAGGCTGTCTCTTGGGTGGGGACTTAGCCAGGACAGCTGACCCAGACTGACCAAAGGGATATCCCATACCATATGACATCCGCTCAGTAATAAAAGCTTAGAGAAGGGGGGGTGTGTGTGTGGCATTCATTGTTTTTATGGCATTTGTCCTCCGGAGCAACTGCTACGCGTGCTGGGGCCCTGCTTCCCGGGGGGTTGCTGGACATCGCTGCTGATGGGAAGTTGAGAATAAAATCTTTCTGTTTTCCTTTTGTTTTTCCATGTGTGGCCTTTGCCTCTGCTTTCATTAAACTGTCCTTATCTTGACCCATGAGCCTTCCATTATATTTCCTCTCCCCTGTCCAGCTAAGGAGGGGGAGTGACAGAGGGGCTTTGGTGGGCTTCTGGCATCCAGCCAGGGTCAACCCACCACGTTCGGAAAGCAGCAACAGCAGGCAAAAAGGGAGCTCTACTAGATTCTTTTACAGATTTTAGAGCGGTAGAGAGGAAGATCGTCTTGTGGCCAGATGGAGGAGCTGTGGAGAAATAAGGAAGGAAAGAAAGGCTATAGTTACCTTAATATTTGCTTCTGTGACACTGGATTTCCTGCGCACATCCTAGCTTCAGCAGAGTCCTAGTCTTGCTGTGTGTGTGCGGTTCGCTCTCGGGCCTGTCGGTTCTGAGTGCAGAGCTAGAAGGTTTGTACCAGTGAGCTGTCTTGGCATTGCCTTTGCGAAGAGGAAGTCTTTTGCATTACAAGCTCAATTAGAACTGGAGTGACAGAGATAATTAGGTCAGTTGTAGGTGTATGCAGTATAAGTTAAAGAACTCGGTGGATTTTGTTGACTCTCTTTTTTATAGGGAAGTATTCACTATACTTGTTATACGCAGGACATTTCAGAACAGTCCAAACAAAGAAGTACAATAAAATAACTTAATGTTCCTTGAATTTGAAAGCAGGTGTTCAGGTAGCAGTGGTGTGCAGGGCAGTTCTGGATGTCTTATGATGATGCAATAATGAAAATGTAATTTGGTATTTTTCTTTTTTTTTTTTTTTAATTAGCACTAGTAAGAATTTTAGTTAATGGGAAATCGAGAAGAATAATGGATTGTAATGAAATCCACTGCTATGCTAATAAATTGGATGCTTGCTTATAATTTTTTTTTTTTTTAAATATTTCTTCAATGGGAAAGTCCTTGTGTAACTGTTCAGTGGTGTATTTGATTCGCAGCTGGGAATGTCTGAGTGGCAGTTATTCAGAAACAGTTCTTCCATTCTTTCTTACATTAGGATATTTTTGCCTTTTCAGGAGAGGAGCTTTCTCTCACTCCACTTCTTCTCATGCCACTTTTTTCTGATGCTTTGCATTTATGTTAGCACCTCAGAAGTGAAATGCTTACTGCAGCTGTTCTGCCATAGGTGGTGGCTTGTCAGGAAGCACATCCTTTGAGCTGGAAGCATTAGGTTGTTAAAGAAGCTCTCAAGACTGGTAGAGTTAACCTTGCTATAGTTGCACTGTCTGTTGGTGCTCTAATAAAGGAAAACTTCTTGAAATTTGTATTATTATTATTATTATCATCATCATTATTATTGTTATTATATGCCTTTAGAGACCACCATTTATGCCTCCTCCCATGGGTAGCATGCCACCACCTCCTGGTATGATGTTCCCTCCAGGTCACTGCCCCTGGAACACCAGCAATGCCCCCAGCTGAAGAGATATGGGTAGAAAACAAAACTCCAGATGGCAAGGTAAGATGGTTACCAGAAACAATGAAGTAATGGGTGTTTACTGCTGTTGTGAGCATGTTGTCATACACAGTCTTGCACTGTAGTCAAATCCTATGTTCTTGTCTATCCTCTTATTAATTATTTTTTAAAACAGGAGGAACTGAACCATTTATAAGTGTTTCTCCTCCAGATAAGCAGTTGTTTGATGGTGACATTCTTAAATTGTAGGTCTATTTCTATAACGCGCGTACACGTGAGTCAGCGTGGACTAAGCCAGATGGGGTCAAAGTTATTCAGCAGTCGGAGCTGACGCCGATGCTGGCTGCGCAAGCCCAGGCCCAGGCGCAAGCCCAGGCCCAGGCGCAAGCAGTAGGTGCCTCCACACCGACCACCAGTAGCCCTGCATCTGCAGCGTCTCCATCCACATCCTCGAGTACTCAGTCCTCCACAACCTCTACCACAACCACAGCCACTTCAGTTTCACAGACGATTTCCAGTGAGTAACTGAGTGTTTCTCAAGCTTTGCGATGGTGGGGAACAGATGGTGGGGATGCTGCTTTGGGGAATTACTGCAGCAAAAACTTGGTATCCAGGAGGAAGTTGTTTCAACATAAAGTGGAGTATGAGTTTAAAGTATAGTATTTAATCTAGAAGACCCTTCCATGCGAACCTTCCCCCCTCCCCCCCCCAGTCTGAAAGAGTTACTTCAGGAGAGTAATACTAGATCAGTATGCAACCCTTTTTCTTTAGGTCTTTGTATATTTTTCTTCTGCTGTTATCATCTCAGAGCTATTATGTGTCCATTTCCCTTTGACTATAGATAAAGCTAAATTGTTTTTAAAAGTATCTCACAAGAAAAGTTAATCTGAGGTAGGAGTTATAGTTGTAGCAATTTTCTCTTTGTTTCCAGAATAGCATCAGTTGCTTTAAGAGGCTGGATCTTTGAGCGCTGCTCCTGGGCTGCAGAGAATTGGTTGATTGCAGAATAGAGCTTCTTCTGGTGTATTACTTTTATTAGCGTTACTCTTCTGACTAAGCCTCCTAAGTTCCCATTTGCTAGAGTTGCACAAAAGAGGAAAAAGAAAGTCCTTAGAGCCATTATTGTTCACTCATGACCTTTGAATAATAGTCTGAAGATTATTGCTGTTTACATGGGCTGAGCCTTTGCTTTTAAGGGTTTGCCAGCTGAGGGAACCGCAAGAGGAATGGGGACTGAATTTATGCAGCATACATATAGTGCATGTTTATACATGGTATCTGCATATAATATAAATAGTATGATTTATACTGTACTTTGGCATGTATATGCTAACAAAGTGCCTCTAGTGCAGAGCATCTACATAGAGATGTATCTTATGCACTATTTGCACACGCGTGTGTCACCAGCAAACAATGAGTAAGATCACCTAGCAGGAAGGAAGCAAGGTACGCTTGTTAAGGAACAGTTTGATTAGTGTTACTGTCTACATGCAGGGCTACTGAAAGCACAACATTTATGCTCATCAGGAATCCTATTGTTTGACGGTCTTGATCATTGTAGCTGCGCTGGCAAAAATGTGTGCAGAGTCAGGCCAAAGAGTATGCAGAAGATGAGCAATTGCTGAACTGTTTTAACACCAGCTGTAGTGTATAGTTGCATCCCCTGGAATTATTTTATCTTTTTCGTGTAACAGGTGAGACAAGTCAAGCTTAACTCACCATTTAACCCACACTTTGGAGATCTGTGTATGAAAGGGAGTCAAATTTAGGCAACCTTCAAATTATACTTTCAGTTAACACTGGAGGGAGGACAGTTCATTAGAGTAGCAAATAATTTACATTGCCCAAAGCATTTTAGGGCTTTTAATTAATTTGAAAGGTAACTTAGTACTACGTTCAGCTGCTTTGTTGAAATATGGTCTATTCTAACCATTTTGCTGAGTAACAAGAATCAGGCAGGAGGTGAATGCTGGCTTCTGGCCTAATGCCAGGCTTTTGAGAACTGATCCTGCTTTTGGAATAGCACTTTATGCGCCTTCTCTGAAGCAAAATTTCCTAATATCAAACGCTGAGAGTCTGTTCCACTTCTACCTGCTAAACTTTGTCTTTGCTTTCAAGAACTGTTACTGTTGGTGTCTGTGCCTAGGTGATAAAATTTTATTTAAAATAATTGTATAACTCTCAGACTTGGCCTGTTATAAAACCTGGGACTTCTGGCTGAGCTTCATTCTTGTCTGGTACTGATTTGACTTAGGCCTTAAAACAAATCACATACTGACTGTCTGCTCTGTTTCCCTAAATTTTAGGCAGTGCTAAGAACTTTCACCCTTTCTGAAACACTTAACAACAGATCAAAAATCTTTATTTAAATATGTTAATACTGGTACGTTGTTGGAAGTGCTTCTGGTAGTCATTAAATACTGAAGAAAATGCACAGTATGCCCATGTATAATGTGGTCATAAGCTGGTGTGGGATGTTTGTTTGTTTTTTAAATTAGCTCATTTTTACAACAGTTTCTCCTCCCCCTCCCCCAAATCTTACAGTGTAAATTTGCAAGGCTGGTCAATGAGTTTAATCAGTCACGCCTATAGTTCCTGTTTGCCAGTGCTTTGATACACGGCACTATTTATTCTCGGTTAAGTGCCGATTTCAATCATGCTGCAAGGATTGTGGAATTGAATGCTAGTAGTGTATTTTCCCACTGGGAGGCACTGAAGACCAAGAAAGTTCTTGCAGCTTCTGAACAAAAGTACTTTCCTTTTCCTTGCTTATTTACACATTTTTTTATCGACATTTTTCCATTCTTGGATCCCACCTTAAAAAGCATAGTTTTAGACAGACTGTTGTCATGCACATGCTGCTGCCATTGTTGTTAAAAAGCAGAACCTGTGTTCATTTAACATAAGGACAGTCTTTTTCCATTTGAAACTCTGTAACATTTCCTTTCTATATTTCTGAACAGGGATACAGAGGCTCTATTTGTCCTTTGGTACACCTTTGCTACTGCTATAGAGACTTATTTTAGGTGTAAAGAATGGGACAAAGTAAAATTTGAAATTGACTTTTTTTTGTGGATATTTGATGTTACAGAGAAGGCAAGCGGTTTTTTTTTGACCTGCTGATTATATCTAAGCATATCTGCTTATGTAAGGTCTGTTGGGAAACAGAGAGCCAGTATGTTTGCAGCAAATATATTGTAGTGTCTAAGATACAAGGTGTTCTTTGTTTTTTTTTATCAGCACCTACCACACAAGACCAGACCCCGAGTTCGGGTGTTTCAGTTGCCACACCATCAGTCAGTGTTTCAACCTCTGCTCCTTCTGCTACACCTGTGCAGACTGTACCCCAGCCAGTCCCACAGACATTGCCTCCTGCAGTTCCTCATGCAGTACCTCAACCAACTGCAGCAATTCCTGCTTTTCCACCAGTAATGGTACCTCCATTTCGTGTCCCCCTTCCTGGCATGCCTATTCCACTTCCAGGTAAATTGGCGAACTGTAATTGTCTTGTCCGCTACATGTCCATGTTGTCAATTTGTTTGCACTCATGTGTCCACTGTGTACGGAACTTGCCTGAATCCTCTCCACTCAGAGTATTTTTGAAAGAATTCAGGGTTAGCAGACAGACTTTTTAATTAACAAAGAACATGAAATTTTTTTGACTTCTAGTTCTTTGATATACCTATCAGAAAACAGCTCCATTTAAACATGTAAACCTTTTTCTTTTAGATGATAGGAAAATATAAGAATTGCACTAAACACTTTAATTTCACGGCACGTCTATCTTGTCATCCTATTTTAAAAAAAATAACCTTCTGGACAGAATCCATATGTGACTGAGAATATTGTAGCACTGTATTTTACTAATTGCAGTATTGCTATGATTTTTTCTACTTGCTTGATTTAGACCTTAAGTCTTGTGCATAAGTATTTATTAGGACATGGATTATAGCTGAAAGAAATGAAAAGAAAATAACATATGTATAAGCAGGAAAAATTACCATTCAGATTCATTACCCCTGAGTGATGTTAGGTGTTTCCAGTTCTCTTGGTTTGCAGCTATCAAGTATGATGCTGAATGCTTACACAAAATGTTGAGGTTTAAAGATGCTAGGGTATTATTCATAGGCTTTAGAATATAAAAACTATTGAGGAGAAATTTTAGATGGCAGCCCACTGGTTCCTGGGTAAATCATATTTTCTTAAGTTCTTAAATTCTTAAGTTTTTATAAAATATTTAGATACTTAAGGAACTAATTTTAGGCTGGCAAAATTTTGGACTCAACTGCTGTGTGTAATTGCTACAGAGGCCCTCCTAAGAGGTCGCTAAGGCCACTCATTGCTTAAACACCATGTTCCAATTTGCATGGATACAGTTGAGTTCCTGTTCTAGTACAAAAGTAAGTAATGTTTTTTCAGTGTGCGGTAGCACTAAGTATATGCCAAGAGCTGATGATTTTCTGTTGCAAAGGAGGGTTTGAGACTGCAGTTGTATTGGATACAAGTTAGTTTCTGGATAGGAATTACAAAGAAGCAGCTCTGAGCAGCATCCTCATATTTTTGACTCTCTGTACAAGCTGAGTGAGGTGACTTCTTTCCTGCTGTCCTTTTAACATGTTGATCCAACACGTATGAAGGGAGGCCTTTACCTTCCATCGAATTGCTTGGATGAAAAGTAATCCTTTATAACACTTCTTTGATAAAGGATGTAAGCATCAAAGTAGTTAAAATGCGTATTAGTTCTGCTAACTAGAAGAGAGGACCAACTTTTAGTTGCCTCTGCTTTTAGGGTAGTCTTCTAAAATAACTGGGCGAAGCTACTTTAATCTGTAATTTGCTTGAAAAGGAAATTGCAGTGTAGTACTCGCTGTTTTAAGACAGGAAAAAAATACTGTTCTGAACATGATAATCAAGGCTGAACGAAAAACGGGTGAAGGATAGCGGGAGAATTCTGATGTCTGTATATTTGGGAGGTTTGGAAGAACAATAAAAAGGGTTAAGCCTTAAAGGTGGTCAGCTGAATGTCTTTAACTGCACTTTCTGACATTGCCAGCGAGGGATCAGCATAGAGCGAAGGGTCCCTACGTACCTTTGAAGGATATAATCATCTACTCAAGTGTGAACTGTCAGGTGAAATGGGGATGGTCAGAGCAGTAGAGAAGAGTGCCAGTGAAAATGGATACACTGGGGCGTGTGCTTGGGTTGGGTTTTTTCATAAGCTCTCAGTCAAAAAGTTTTGTAAGTAGTATAATACAGAAGGAAAGACAGAGCAAGAACATCAGTCTTCTCCTTCTTAAACTTGTTTTTTTGAAAATTATTTTTTTCAGAACTTTCCTGGTAGCAAGTCTTAGATCTTGCCTCTTCTCCTGTTCTTGCAGTGAGATGAACCTTTTGGGTGGAACCCATAATACATATGAATAATACCTAGCAGTAAAGTGCGTGCTTCCACTAACAAATCTAATTTGTCATTTTGCCTGATTACAGAATAAATTCAGTCTACTTCTTTCAGCTAATTCTGGCTTGAGTTTGTTGTAATGGTTTATAAACACTGTAAAAGAAAAGGAACCCTTTAAAATATTTTACAGTAACAAGGAACTAAAGAGAAGTCAAAATGGCTTCATGGCAGTGTAAGGTGAAATCAAAAATGCTTACAGGGTTTTACTGTATAGATGTTTGGGGCTTTCAGCACTAGATAATATCAGCCAGATTGCTTTCAGGTGACAGAGACAGAGCTGAACAATGCCATTGTCAAGTGACTTCAAAGTTAATCTCTGTATTATACTATAGTAAGACGGAACAATGGAAGAGTTGATTAGTGATATCTCGTAATCTCAGATCTTAAAAAGTAAGTCTGCTTTCTCTTAATTCATACGTTAAAAGTTAGTTGTATGTTTGAGAATAAACTTGGCAGAGGAAACAGCTTGGGTATTTGCTAAGTCTTATCTGCGCTGCAGTATCTCTAATTTCAGTGATCCCGCAGATGGCATTATTTATACTGACCCAGTTTTAAGACATGCTGTAACTTCCTTAACAAAACGAATTTTCAGATTCATTTTCAAGTACATAACATGACTTGACCCCCTCCAAATTTAAACAAACTCTTCATTCAAGTGCTGTTTGAGTCAATGTTTTTGTGTCTCAATTCATACTTTTTTTAAAATAAAACTAGTTTTGGATTCTTTCATTGAAATTATTATTAAAGAACATTACAATTCTGTCTTCTCAGAAATATTTTTAAAATAAATTGGCAGTATTTTTGTATGCTTTCCATACTAGATTTCTAATGAAGAAAAATAGAAATTACTTTGGTTATAAACACAGGGGTTTAATTTCACTTTGTGCTGGAGGATTTCCAACCTCAGGTGATGGTATTGAAACCATTTAAGGGGAAGTTTCTGAAGTATTTAGAGTTTGAGTTGTCCAGACTGGGCCAACGTAGAGAGAACTTCTACAGTTTCCTTCCACACCCTAAAATGAAGGTTTTTAGAAACAGAATTAGACACGTTCCCCTTACCCCTGTCTAATTTCCTACTGAATTTTGTGTCTAATTGAAGAGGAGTAGATGCTTCCCTCTTTGTGGCCTTTCTATGTCATTTCTTAATGAGCTGGAGGCAGAACAGTGCATGATGCTACCTTTTTGAGGGCTAGTTATGCTGCTTTTGGAGCATTTTTCAGCTTGTGACATTCTGGATAATGAAAAATAAACTGTTTGCTGCCACTGACCTTGTGCAGCTTTGTGTACCTCTGTTTGCAGCTTCATTGCTTTTATCCCACCCCACCCCCCCCAGCCTTTCTGTAATGACCCTCATAACCTCAGCTTTCCCTCTGGGTTGAACTTGGCTTTCACCCTGCCATGCCTGGCTAGTCTGACTAGTTTAAATCTGTCCTTCTACTCTTACCACTGCTTTCTAAATGCAGCAGCAGACTGAAAATAGCAAAGACCGTTAGTTTCACTTTGTTGCTGCTCCTCTGATGGATCTTTCTGAGCAAAGGCTGTCAGTGGAAAACAGCACCGTTAGCAGAACATTTTCCCAGTGTACTGCCCTACCAGGAGAGCCGAGTTCCCCCTTGAATGAACTTAAACCCCTGAGTCTTCATTGAAATTCCTTTTTTTTTTTTTAATGACATCCAAGTAATTTGCTAAACAGCTGGTTTAATGTAGGCAGAAACTGTTGCTGCAGCTTAAAATTAGTTTTATATTTGATCTGGCATAAAACGTTGGAGCAAAAATGATTCGCATTTTCTTGCCGGGAGGCTTTCTCTTTGCCAGCTGAAAATGGCATTCCAAATTGTAGCAGGAAATCTGTAGCATCCAGACTCCCAGTGGTAGCTGACATACAATGGCAGCTTTCCAACATGCTTGCTTATCCATTTTACAGGTGTAGCAATGATGCAAATAGTCAGCTGCCCGTATGTAAAGACAGTCGCTACCACCAAGACCGGTAATTTTCAAAACCATCTTAGTTCGTTTTGTCTGTAAGTTGGCATGGTAGTGAATGTTGTTGTTTATCTTTTATTTATTTATTTGCTTCCCCAATTGAATGAATATATATCTTTATTTTTAAAACCAGTATAAATGCAAATATCATATTTGGCCAGGAAATAACTTTCCCAAATAACTGTTAGTGTTAGCTTATTTTATACAAAAAATCCAGTACAGTTTTCTGTAATCATGGAGTTCTGTAATAATTGTGAACCTCTTCATGCCCATACTTCTTAGTTATTAGTTTCTTGTGTGTGAATTTTTGTTTTTCCTACTTCCACATGTATAGTGACATGATTGTGCTCGCATGTTGGTGTGCGTGTATGTGCGTCTTAGTATAAATTTCCATTTTTCAAATTGTGGATTTAAGAAAAGTCACTGAGAATACTTTATGGCAATGTGTAATGTGTGCTTTTCCATTATTTAAAAAGATAGACTTTTTCATATAAATGTTAAAAGCTCGAAATTATGATCTTGTAGTTCTAGTACTATCCAATCTATTTTTCTAGAACTTGTCATTCAAAATATGTTCAGTATATCCATTTTGTTGGGATGAGTAGAGAAATAACAGGATAATGTAGCATTTTGGCTTTCTTATCTTTGGATATTTACTTGCCATTTTGCTTTAGGATGTGAATAAAATGTTTTTTCCAATCGTCTTCAGTACTAAACAAAACCGTCACACAATCTGAAATTATTTCATTCTCATGAGTTTTTATTCAAGGCTCTGAATTAGTGTTAACTTTCTTTAAGTCAGGATTTAAGATTTATCAGAGTTCTGCTCGGTATTATATGGCTCAAATTCAAACCACTGTTGTCTTTTTTTCAAGAGCAACAGGAATATCTCTTAAAGTGACAGCATAATTAAACAGTGGAGTAGATTTTTTTTTTAATAATTATTTTCTATAGAGATCTAATAAAGACTTTTAATGAATAAAGCACTTAATTTTGAAGTATTAAAGGAAATGTCTAAAAACTAACAAGGTTTGTGCTGTGCAGAATTACACATCAGTCTAAAATAAAAACCTGTCTAATCTGCCTGGTAATATGGGCATTACTGATTGTAAAACACAGGAAGGAAATTTAGTAACAATGCATTGCTTTCCAATTTAATTCTTAAAACAATTTATTTATATAGGTTGATTATTTGTAAATTAAGTCAGTGAAGTGCTAGGTTTTGGTTCTTCGGTACTTCATTGTCACTTACTGTGTTCTTTCCTTTTTTCTTTTTTTTTCTTTTTTCTTTCCCCCCCCCCCCCTTTTTTTTTTTTTTTTTTTGCTTTTTTTTTTTTTTTCCCCCCCCCCCCCCCCTCTTTTTCCTTCTTTACACAGGTGTCTTGCCAGGCATGGCCCCTCCCATTGTACCTATGATCCATCCTCAGGTTGCTATTGCTGCTTCCCCTGCTACGTTGGCTGGAGCAACAGCAGTCTCTGAGTGGACAGAGTACAAAACAGCAGATGGCAAGACTTACTATTACAACAATAGGACTTTGGAGTCAACGTGGGAAAAACCCCAAGAACTGAAAGAAAAAGGTATTTTTTTTTTTTTTTTAATACAGCTGTATACTAGGCAAAATTGCTTAGACCATTAATGGTTGTGTTTGAAAATGAGAACGAGAACATTTCTAATCCCTTAAGAATATTTCGAAATCCTGGTTATAAGTATCTACTTGAATTGCTCTTGAGTCTGAAAGTTATAGTTTCTTTGTTTCCCACTGTATTGTAAGAGTATTTGGTTCTAGAGTTGCTTCCAAATCCTGTGACACTTGGGTAAATGTGTGTTTCCACTCCAGTAGAAAGTAAGTACCTTACATACTCACATGTTTGAGAAGATCTCAGTTGCAGAAAGATAGTGTGAGAGAGAAATTCAATTATTCTCAAGACTGTAAAGCAGGGAAGAACAAAGATCATTGAAATGCTAAATTTCAGATCTTCAAAAACTAAATATGTAAACAGACTGGGAATATGAGGAAAAAATAAATAGCCTCCCCTGTCTGCATCCCTAAGTCATAGTCTGGTCATATTGTGACTTGTGTTTATTTGAATCCTCATTGTATCCATGGGTGCGTTATATTGGAGGGAGATTGTTCTTGTATCATAAATAAGGAAGAAGGGGCAAAAATCCTGTGGCTTTTATTCGATTTATAGTCTTTTAGGAAAACAAATCCAGTCAGACCCAAATAGTTCTTCCTTTTATTGTCTGCTGAATTTTTCAGTAACGAGAAATCTTTGTTTAGACAAATTCCGAACACTTACACAGTTAGCTAGTTTAATACCCATCTTTCTAATAATTCAGGTTTAACTAATAGGTCTCTTTTTACTGAGGTGAAAACACCTAAGTCAGCAAATATCAATTTTGCTGAGTAAAAATTACACATTTTATAATTTTTAAGTGGGTACAGAGCAATCTTCAGATGATTCTCCATGAATTTTCTCTGATTTCTTTTTTTTTGTCAACACCATTTCAAATCTGAAAGTGGTCTTCAGTGTTGCACTGTTGGTTGCAACTGTTGGCTGATATTTTTATTGGTGTTTTAGCTATTTCTGTTAGTACGCTTCAGTTAGCTGTTTAATAGGCGGCCTTAGAATATTTCATTTTCCAGTCCCAAGTTGATCTTGGTGCAGGAGATAATCATGTCTTTATAAGCAGACACTGTAAAGCCCAAGAAGGACAGCAAGTGGTGAAAATACATGAAAAATAAGTTTTGTTTTGCTGTTGTGCTTGGAAAATCATACTGATAAAAATAAATCTGTTGTGGTTCTATAATGGTTTTTTTAATAATACTAAGGGAAATTCTATCTTTATTTAGAAAAAATGGAAGAGAAGATTAAAGAGCCAATTAAAGAACCTACGGAGGAGCCTTTACCAATGGAGACAGAAGAAGAAGAGCCAAAAGAAGAACCTATAAAAGAACTTATAAAGGAGGTAAAAGACCTTGCAACCAAATAGTCAGTATCGCCATTTTGAATCCTACATCCTACAGGTGTGGATGCATCTGTAGACCAGGCATATTGACAGGAGACATGGTTAGTAATGAGTTCTTAAATTCCTGGGGTGATTTTGAAAGCCTTCCTTTTTGGACTCATAGCGCTTTTTTCCTTCCTTTTTTTTAACATAAGGAAAAAAGGACTTTTAAAAGAAAAATACAGAGTATGTGATAGTAAGAACATGGAAAAAAAGTTAGCTAGTTACATAGACATGATGTTCTCTCACTGATTTTAAGGTGTTCAGAAAAATGAAACTTGTCCTGAATGTTTGAAATCTTTAAATTAATAGCTTTTTATCTGTTCCTCTACTCCTTTATTTTGAACAATTTTGGAACAAAAAGCTTACACGTGCTCCATGTGCTATAACTGATAAGTTTAGTCTGTTAGGAACAGCTGTCCTAGAAAATGTCTGTAGTGTTTACGTTACAGTAAACAAACTTTTTTATTGTAAGGCATTTTGTCATGCTGAGAAGGCATAGTTCTTGAAGATGCTAAGGTGTTTGAATAAAAATTAAAGCTTTTATACTGATTTCTGTGACCTTCAATGTAGCTTAGTAGGCAAAAGCACAGACTTCAGTTGCTGGTTTTTATTACCACTCTGCCCTGTTTACTTTTGAGATAATTGCTAGTTTGCTTATTTCTGTTACAATTGCACATTTTTGACTGTTTTGTACTATATTTCTCATTTTCAAGTAAATTAATTTTAAGAATAAATCAAAATTTCTTTGTGAGAACCTACACCCTTGCCCCTGTATTCAAGGCCTTGATTCAAGGATTCACACGGATCTATGAAGGCATTTAAATAAGGTTTCATTGAAGTCAAAGTTAAGTAAACGCTTAAAGGTTTTCTGAATTGAGATTTTTGAATGGCAGGTACTGTCTATGTATTGAAATTTGAGTACTTCCATTTTAAGCATGGATGAAGTGTAATTGTGAGCTGTTTATTAGCATTGTTTCAAAATCCATTTGCTTGTTTAAAACAAGTTAGTTACTTTATAATAAGTAATTAGCAAGCTGTCATTGCCTGAATCCTGTAACTTGTTTTTTCCTTGAGGAGCCAAAAGAGGAAGAAATGACTGAAGAAGAAAAAGCAGCTCAGAAGGCCAAGCCAGTTGCAACCACTCCTATTCCAGGAACCCCATGGTAGGTAACGATTTTCCCTATGGCCTGCTACTGCAGCCCTGAAACATGGTTTCCTGTAGCCACCAGGAAGGTCGCTGGGTAGTTAGAACAAGTAACAGTGTGTGAAGATCCTGTTCTTGGTACGCTTCTGTCCCAGATAATGTTGGATTCCTCCAGCCAACACTGTTCGCGCTGTGCCAGCACTCGTAATGTTCAGTGGTGTGTGTATAGCCTTTCTACCACACGCTAACTGCAGTCCAATGAGGTACGTTACCGGTATAGATTTTTGTGTTCCAGCCCCCTTCATATGCAATGGATTCCCCCTGATCTGGTATGAAATACTGGCAAAAAAAAAAAAAAAAAAATCTTCTTTTGCCCTTATGCCTTGGGGAACAAATAGGTGCAGTTGCTGGCCAAAACAACCCCTTTTTTTTCTTCCACTTGGCATAGACACTCATCAGGTGCCTATGTGTATGATGTCATGATGAGGTTACTCTGGCTGTAATATGTGTAAATCGTATTTGTGTGTTTGAATGAGCAAGGTAAAAATCTTACTGATGGGAAGGGGATATTGTTTTAATTTTTGCAATTTAGCCATTGATGCTTTTTTTATTAATGTTTGATATTTAAAACTGTCTCACTTCAAATTTTCTCTGTGGTTCTTTCATCCTGTCACTTGTAAAATTCTGGCAAGAGCATTAGGTTGCTTTTCCTTGTATTTTGCGGGACATTGAAGAGATGAGGTACGTTTTATCCCAAAATTTGATTCAGCTGTATAAAACTCTTTTCTAGAGAAGAACCGAATATACTGCAGGTCCTGATAAAAAGCATTTTAAAAATTGCATTTCAAATCTGCTAGCAGAGAAAAGCAGTAATTCAGTGTCCCATTTGGACAATAGGAATGTTTGGTAGTTGTGCAGTAAGTAAAACCTGGATCTGTCTGTGACCATTCTGCTTGCCTTCGGTCTTTGAATACGGTAACAGGTATACAGAATGAATGAAGACAAAGATAATACAAGAGTTCCTGTCTGACTGTTAAACTTCTAGGTGTGTGGTGTGGACTGGTGATGAGCGTGTCTTCTTCTATAACCCCACCACTCGCCTTTCTATGTGGGACCGACCAGATGACCTAATTGGAAGAGCTGATGTGGACAAAATTATTCAAGAACCTCCTCACAAAAAAGGAATGGAAGAAGGAAAAAAACTTAGTAAGAGCCTTCTTACTGCCTTCTTAAGAAGTCTGAATATAATTTATCACTTATTTTGTGTTGATTTCCAAAACTAGTAACATTTAAATAAGTGAGAGAAATGTAAGGACATACTAAAAAACGTATATAGTTTGGGAATTTAAGGCGGCTGGTGGGAATGCAGATTTATAGAGTCCTTTGGATAAAAGAACAGTCTGTTGAAGAAAGTAGGTACTAACAAGGATGATTTTTTTTCTAAATGTCAACAGGCTGAAAAAAACCCACAGTTTTTACTGACTAAAAAAAGGGACTGTGTTTGTTTTATAAGCAAGAGGAATTTGGGGGCCAGGAAAGATTAATCATAGTGTACGAATGGGCTCTCAGAGAAGAGGATTTAACTTAGAGAACATCCTACTGGAATACAGTTTTGGAAACAGCTGCCAAGAGCAGCGAACATTCACGAGGCTGCTGAGATGGGAGTTCTTTCTGGCATGAGTTCTAGTAAACGATCCTGGGATGACATGTGGGCTTGGTAGTTGGAGGAGAGCAGAGTGCAAGTAGGTAATCAGGAGATCCAAATGTGCTTTATTAGACTGTTAGTCTGAGGTTGTTTTTTTTCCCTGGAAATAAGACATCACTGTTTGTCATTTTAAATACAAAGTTGGCCACAAGTCTGTTAGTCCTGCCACCGAATTCCGATAGTGTTATTCTGAAAGCAACTGGAATCCATATGTCTTCCTTTGTTAGAATACATTATTGCTGCATGCATTGTCCTCTGTTTTTGCACAAGGCTTCATTTGTGATTTACAAACTTTTCATAACAATAAAATATAAAGTATTATTGAAATCTGTTACAGTTAGAGAAGAGCATGAATCTACAGAGGATGCAAATGAAGATGAGCCTATTAAAATTAAAAAGCGCAAGTAAGTTTGCTTTTTCAATACTAAGTGGTCTGTGTAGGTAAAATAAATAATGTTTTTTGTGTGAGCAGTGTGTATACTGTTGTATTCAGCAGAGGAACAGTAATAGGATTGCTGAACACAAATAGCAGAAAGCTGATGATTTACTTTAGCAGCTCAAGTATTTGATATTTCTCTGAGGTAGCTGAAATTCATGTATAGAGGAAATAGCATCTCCTTCGGAAATAATTTGAAATGGAAATAAATGGTATAAGTTGGTGAATCCAAACAATACTTTGAGTGTAGTTTATCTTAAATACTTTGCTCCTGTTGCTTGTTTATCTAGCTTGTTAATTTCTGTGCACAAGATTTTGTTGCCAAAAAATCCAGCCATCTAGATTTTCATAGTGATTACTCTGTTGTCACTGTATTATAAAGGTTTAAGTGTTTTGTTTAGGTCTTTTGGTCTGTTTTGCCTATTGGAAGCAATATATGTCACTTCACTCTGGGTTACTTACACGCACTGTTTTAAAAGTAGTTTTACCATTTTATTTGTTATTGTGTACTCTTAGGGATGACCGTAAAGTAGTTAGCAATTAGGGCTTTGAGTTTGTTTGGGACGAAGCGCATTTGCTCTTATTAAGCATAAATCAACAAACAGCAAGCTTTTTTCCAGAAACGCTTTGATGGCTGAATGTATCACTTGTGTTACAGCATTTTCTGTTGTAACGATTGTAAGGTATTCTCAATGTGAACTAACTCCTTAGCCGTAGTCTTTTCACAGAGCCTCATGGTCTTGAACAGGAGATAAGAAAATTAGTGCAGCTAATGTAAAATCTATTGCACGTCTGGCGAGACCATTGAATGCAACCAGAATGTGCTAACTTCTTGGAGTCATTTGTTGGCACTGAAGTTATTGAGAATACCTTGGTTCTGGAGCTCTTTCAGAAAGCATTCATATCCAAGTCTCAAAGAATGGCTTTCATGATTTGTAAGCCTACGCTTCTGAAGTAATGGGTCATATCCATTCTGTCCTGGTCTAGTTCCATTTCTAACCTACAGGGCTGACATGTTACTTCTCAAGTTATTCTGTATGTTTAATGTTTTTCAGGAAAGATGATAACAAAGATATTGATTCAGAGAAGGAAGCTGCTATGGAAGCTGAAATTAAAGCCGCTCGAGAGAGAGCCATTGTCCCTCTGGAGGCTCGGATGAAACAATTCAAGGACATGCTTCTAGAAAGAGGGGTCAGAGAAATCAGTGTGTCTGTGTGTATATGTGAGAGGGGGAGATGGGGAGGGGGAGGTTCAGGCAGAAGCCTCATTTCTTAGCAAATTCAGAACCTGCAGTGCTTTATGTAAGGAAAACAATCTCATCCTTCTTCTGGTTAATGGATGCATTTGGTACAAGACTCCATATTTCAAAGAATGTTACAATTATAGCAAAATTTTGATTTCTAAGTAACTGAAATTGAACAGTATCAAGACAGGTTTTTTTTTTTTTAACTTTTTTCCCAAGTTAAGTAATTACCTAATTGAAAGCTGCCATTGAAAATAAATAGGAGACACAAACTGGACACATCCTTAATGTTTTTGGAAATGTTCCTACATGAGAAAAGCAGTAAGTTTCACTGCAGTCTGTACACTCTTATCCTTAAATGGGACACTTTTTGCTTTTAGTTAACTAAATTTGAAATCTGCTTGATACCAATCAGCTTTGATAGATAAATTAGGCTATTAGAATATAAATTTATACAGCAACTGCAAAAAATGGAAGTGGTTCCAGCTGCCTATGCAGCTTTCCTTTAGTTTCAATAACTAAATTTTATGGGATAGTTTTAATAAAGCTTATTTAAGATGAGCTCAAACGTGGTTAAATCAGTCTCTTTTGTAGCAGAACTGTTTACACTCAGAACATTTAGAAAGGTATAGAGCTGGCATGGGATATGAGAACATAGAATCTCAAGGCTTTCTTCTGATGTACTTTTTTTAATGTCCCTCAGTAGCAGCAATTAAGCATTTGTTATTATTTAGAAGTTTTCAGAGCCAATTAGTGTTGAAACTTGCTATGGCAGCCTCTGTTGTCTATTAGTGATGAAAACTTCCAGATGAGTTTGTTTCCCTCTTTTCATCAGATGTCCTATACCTTTCAAGCAAAACTATACAACTTCTGTATATTTGAGGAAACTTAACCATTAGTTAAAATCTGACTTTTTTTAATTAAAGGTGTCTGCTTTTTCAACATGGGAGAAAGAGCTACACAAGATAGTTTTTGATCCTCGTTACTTACTTCTCAACCCGAAAGAAAGAAAACAGGTAAAAGAGAAGTTAAATTCCCTCCCCATCCAGACACAGCTACTACAGGCTTTATCTAAATCCTCAGTCTGCTATTTTTGTTCCTGCTAACCTTCCAGACTAATCAGTGTTGCAAGGGATTTTTGTTATGATTAGGGTTTGTCTGGAAACGGAAGAAGCCAGCAAGAAAAGAAGTGAGTTGATAGTTTCTATTTTTCCTGTGGTTGGAAGATCGTAATATTTTAACACAGTGAAAGTTGTATGCATACAGATAGCTCCCAAAATGTGAATGAAATAGTGACAATCGTCAGTATCTCTTCAAAATAGTGGCGTAATGAATAGCCTATCTATTTATTAAAAAAAAAAAGTGGTTGGGGGAAAAACTAAAGTGCATTTTTATTGTTAAGCAAGTTCTCACTCCAGAAGCTTTTCTTCAAATGGATGTAGACAAGAATACAGGAAGTGTCTGCTGTCTTAAACGTATGACCCAGAAAAACGTTAACGTAACATGAATGTGTAAGAAACTTCTTTACAGGTCTCAGATTATGTGTTTAGGTACAGTACACTACATGTCCAGCAGATAGGAGTAATTTGCATATTCAAATACAAAGAGTCCCTAACCCTTCTTTCTGCCTCGTCTATGTTGGTTCTGTGGTGACAGAAAGAGGAGAAAAGGAAAGAAATGGGATTTTTCCTCCCTCTTGCCTAGAGCTTATGTGGCTTCAGGTTTGTATGTTTTGTGTCGGTGACTGGTGTTTCTGTAGGTGTTTGATCAGTATGTGAAAACGCGAGCAGAAGAAGAGCGCAAGGAGAAGAAAAACAAAATAATGCAGGCCAAGGAGGATTTCAAGAAAATGATGGAAGAAGCAAAGATTAATCCAAGGTAGGAGCTGCTTCTTGTTCGTACGCGTAAGCTCTATTAGAATGAAGTATGTTGGGTGGTATTAGGTAGATAAACCTCTTTCAAACCAGGCAAAGAGGAGAAAAATCATCGGATGTTGCTGAAATCTTCTTTTGCCTGCTTGTATTCACCGAACCCATGAAATAATAGAACTTGTGATTATAGCGGTTTACATATTTTTAAATCGTTTTGAAGAAACCCCCAGCATACTGTCCAGATTGTGAGAAAGGCTTCACGATCCACCACAAGTTTTCTTCAATAACCTTGTTTCTTCTGAAGAGTATTCGTAGTCTCTGAGAAGTACTAGGGAGGTTTCTTCAGTTTGGAGGGGGCTGAAGGGACCTTTTTCTGGTTACAAAGTATGTTGATAATATGATAGAATGTTCTGGTTGCTTTAATATAGAAATTATTACATACCCCTCACATTCAGACCTATTTGCAGTGATAATAACGAGGCGATGACAGTGAGTGTACTAACATTTAAGATTTTATTGCTGGAATTGTTTGTTTCACAGCTTTCTCACCTAGAGTTCATGAAATATGTGTTTATGTCACCAGATGAGCTCTAAAGCATTCTCTTTCAGCATCTCTTGGTTTATCTGGCGTTAATTCTTTTACAGTGGAAATAACTCATTTGTTTCACTTCAGCTTAATTTTTTTCAGTGACCTGTTTTGGAAATCTGGTGGAAGCCAGTGTTATGTTAACTTCTAAATCACTTCAAATCTGGTTAACAACTCTTATTTAAAACACCTGTTTGCTCATTTAATAAGGGTAGCAGTTTCAACAGTAGTAGGCTGGGAAGAATGGAGGTATAGAAATGTTTTAAGAAAAAGTTCATCAGTAATAAGTTTAATATATAATTCAGAGACTAACATGGACTATTATGTTAGCTTTAGTATCCTCAGCTTTCAAGATATCTCCGATTTGTCATATTGGGACTGACTCTTATCTGATTATGGGTTGGGGTGGGAAAGAGAGTTCCAGCTGAAATACTGTCTTGTTTAATCTTATCCTTTGTCTTCTGGTTTCAGTGTTTGTCTAAAGATAATGCTGTACTTCTGTGAGTGCCAGACTGGTTTTTTATCATCTGTCTCAGTCCAACATGCTCAAGAGTTTGTGTTCCACTTCACTTAAACAGCTCTTGTTCTTCAATATAGCTGTACATTCACTTTCTAATCTTTTTGAATAAGCTACCAAATTCTCTTCTTGTTTCAATTTACCCTACAGCAACAGTAGGCTGGATTTTCCAAGTCTAATTATTTCCATGCTGTGATGAAAACATTCGTATGATTATAAGTGTCTCACGTATTCTTGGGGCCAGATTTGCATCAGAGCTTGGAAAAAGCACAATAGTGGTTTTTTTCGAGGTAAGTGGCAGTACTATATCTACTGCACAGATTGGAATCTGGCCCTGGAGGTGAGAGAACGGTCAGGGAAATGCTATGGGGATAATGGGTTGAAAGCCCAGTATTGCTGCATCTGCCCATAGTGTTTAAAATATTTTCAGATCCGTGTGTTTTAAGATGAGGCTATACAATGTTCACTGTAGGAGGAAAAATTGATTCAGCCAGTGTTCTGTTGTGACTAATACCAAAAGATGATTTTCTTGGTGAACTCTTAGCATGGTTTGGCTGCAAGTGAATGCACGTAAAATTTTCAGTTTCACAGCTGTGAAATACCTGGACAGACTGGTGTCTGAATTGCTAACCCACAAAAAAGAAGATTTTTGTAGACAACTGAGTTTTTTCACTACTTCTTCTTGGTTGCATTGTAATCTCTCTTCCTACACCTGCACTTTCCGCAGGTAGCTGTATTCAAACAAACAAACAAAAAAACCCCTGTAAGTCTCTAACAATACCTTTCATGCGTGTGCCTAAACCTGACTCCTTCCTATATAGTTCATTGATCAAGCATCTCTATAGTGAGACCATAGGATGTTGCTGCCTTTTTTATTTTTTATTTTTTTTAAATTGTGCTCTGGCATGTATTCTAGCAGAAGAAATATTTCTGTGCTGAACCTGCTTCCCAGCAAAGACAGCTCTGCCAAATGAGTTCACTTGCCATTTTGTTGCAGAACTACTTTTAGTGAATTTGCAGCCAAGCATGCTAAAGACTCGAGATTCAAGGCAATTGAAAAGATGAAAGATCGAGAGGCCTTGTTTAATGAGTTTATCACAGCGGCAAGAAAGAAGGAAAAAGAAGATTCGAAGACCAGAGGTGAGAAGGTAAGGTGACTTTTTTAGTTCCAGCAGTGTGAATGGTGTGAGGCTGAGTGAGACGGGACAAAGCCAGTGCTTGGTTTCCAGTGAGCCTTCTCTGAGAAAAAAAAGGGTGTCGCTTTGGGCTTTCTGAACTAACTATTTTAAGTTTGCAGGTATACTGACTTTTAGAGTATATAGAATTGAACTTACATTTATTTGTGAAGCTGAGTTTACTTAAATAATCACACTTTTTTTTTTCGTTTACCTAAGCAAGTAACATTATATTCTTAACTGGAATAATGCCTGATTTTTATTTTATTTTTTTTTTAAAGTTCTATTATCCCGAAGCATTAAAAGGAAAAGGATTCTTGTCCTGTTTGGCTGGAAACCCCAGAACTGGCCATTACTTCTCTGTTCTCTCAGTGGAGGCAGTAAGAATTCTCTGTAGGATACTCCGTTTAAATTTCAGACGGCTTCCACATTTTCTCTTTCCATCTAAAAGCTAGCACTTCAGTGACTTTTTAATCTTTCAGTAAATATATCTTATGTATAAACTGCTGCTTATTAGAATTAAAGGTCAGCTATTAAAGATTAATGAATTCCAAATGTCATTTGACCATATTGTCAATAGCAGGGAGCAGGCTTTCAGCGCTGGGGAAGCAGGCTACTATGGAGGTGGCATCAAATATTATCATCAAAATATGCAGCCGCTTACTTAAATGTCCCTGTGTGTTGTGCGAATGGAGAGAATAACCTCTAAAGCCTAATCATTTTTGACATTTTAAAGTCTGCAATATTTATTTTGTAGTATAAAGTTATTGCAAATTTCACCTACTAAGAATGCTTACAGAAGAGAAAAGTGCTGAATAACAGGTTAGATTTGGGGACAGTTTCGTTATTGAATAAGTTTTGCATATTTCTTTTAACCTAGGTGCTCTGGTCTAATTTGATTCTGTGCTCAATTTTTTTCAAATGTTGACTTATTGCTGATATTTTCAATAAATGATTGTGCTTTCAGAGGAGAACTGATGTAGTTCAAAGCTAGACTTTTACATACTGCATTTCAATTATGAATATGGAATTTTAAAGCATTCTTGCAGCTTAATAGTGCAGTTGAAGACTTTAAAAAAAGTAAATATTTGTTTTGTTGTTGCATGATTGTTCTAAATTTGAAAAGTTAAAAGAAGAGAGATTGTGTTTGTTTGCTTTTGAAATAATGTTTTTTCTCCAAAAGCCTTTTGTAACCATTTTATGTATTCTGTTTTATAACAAGTGGATAGACTTTACAGTTATGTGCTGTGCGGCCTGTCAATCAGTTCAGTCTGACAGCTGTCAATCACTGACACGCAAATATTATGGGATTCCCTAGTGAGGAAAGAATTGGTATCTCTGTGTGGTGACTTTAGCCTCCCGCAGTTCCGGTACTTTACATTTTTTCAGTTTTTTTCCTTGTGAAGTGATGAGAGTTGTACCTGCAATGTGTTAACTGCCAAAAAAAAAAAAAGACTTCTAAATACACCTTGAAATATTTTCAGTCTTATTTTCCTTTGATTTTGAAAGTGCTTAAAACATAAAAGAAAATTTTAAGGCATTTAACCTGAAGCTTTCTCAGTCTGTTTTAAAAGTCCAAAATCTTTATTTAAGGAGGATCAACTTTACAGAAATCTTTAACGTAAGGGTTTTAAATTATATAATATTTTGGTTTTGCTTCATTGAGTTATGGCTTATTGGGTGATGATGGAGCAGCCAGCTTTTCCGATGGTTGTTTTTATTCGTGTGGCTAATTTCAGTGAGTAAATACAATGCTAATACCTCTTAGATGAGAGAGATGAGGAAGTATGCGTGGGGTTTGAGGATGTCAGGGAAAGGACTATGGGCTAGTAATGTTGACCAAGCTGCTCAGGTGCTGTCCCAGGACACAACGTTGTTGCCTGTCCTCGAGATGAGCCGTGCCAGCAGATGAGCCTGGTGTCCCACTTCACATTGACTGAAATGTTCAGCTGCAACCATCCTGCAGCCCACCGGTGCTGAAGGCTGTCTCATCTGTCATCCACCCTGCATCAACATCTCTTAACAGTTTTCTTATGTAATATCCTACTTAGTTGAGCTAGTTACTGTGTATAGATATACTGAACTCGCCACGTTGTAGAGCTATCATCTTAAGAGATTATTCCTTGGTGAGACGTTTTTGACTCAATTTTTTGAGACATTTTTGCCTTTTTTTTTTAAATTGAAAACCAAATTGCAATACTCATGCTATATTCATTGCGGATGACTGAAGTTAAACACATGCTTTAAGAGCATGAGAGGTCTGGAAGTGTCATTTGTTTTTCTCGGGAGGGAATTGGCTGTACCCTCCCGGTTTTCTGCGAGGCAGCAGATGGCCCTGCTGGCATCTCCGTACCGGAGTGCAGGAGCTTGGTAGTGCGAAGGGGGTGCTGCCGGCGGCTCCTCCGGCATCTTTCTGCAGGTTGTGGTGGTGTTCTTAGGTCTGGTTTTGTATTGCAGCTGGTGCCGCCGTGCTTCCAGCAGCGTTGCGGGTATGCAGTTTTTATCCTGTGGAATATATATATATATGCGTATGTGATTCGTGCAGAAACTTTGAGATACCCTTACTTTATAGACTTCTGTAGTAACGTCTGGGAACTGTTTGATTTTTAACAAATATTTCTAATGCCATGGCTTAGAAAGCTTCATATTTTTGATACTGCATGCATGTTTAAAGATGTTTTGAAACAACATTCTTAATTTTACAATGAATAAACAGTTTGCTTAGCATTTTGTTCAGCTACTTTAAGAGAAAGTGATAGTGCTGTAGATGTAGAGCAACTTCCCACTGCCACTAACCAGTTGTTTTCTAATCTCTGCTTACTATCTTAATCTGTCTGTTGAGATAGTAAAGAAAAAAAACCTATAAAGCCTTTTATGTGTATGTTAATATTGTGAAGAACTAGAACTATCGGTGGGCAAGGCTGCAGAATGTTGGTTCTGATCTGCATTTCGTTCTTGTATTCTGTAACTAAACGCATTTTTAGAGAATCGGGATGTGACAGTTCTCTGTCAAGCCAGAGCTTGTTCGCCTGCCCATCTGCCCGCTTCCCTTATGAACCTCAGTGTTCTGGAGCTAAACTGCTTTTGATGCTTTTACTTTTTTAAAGGGATGAGGAGAGGAGATAAATAGCAAAAAAATGAATGGCCAGCCCTTCTCCTAGTTTTGGGGTTTTTTTAATTAGTGTGCAACAAAGACAGGTTTTGTTTTGTGGACCAGCAGGGTTTGGGATGCTGTGAAGGCAGCATGCTTCGCCTTGTGTGTGGGAGTCCCCAGAGTCATTCCCTGGCAGTCAGCGAGTGAGGCGAACCAGCCCCTCGCCACGCTGCTTCAGAGAGGTGGCGGCTTAAATGCCAAACCAGACTTCTAAGGAAATAAAAAGGAGCAAATACCTAGGGCCTAAAGTGCAGCAGGAACAGGGAGATCATCTACCCCAGAAAAAAGAGATTTAGTAAAGGCACAGTAGTCGCTCTGGCAACTGCTGGTTCTGGGAGTTTGGATGAAAATGCGTTGCTAGTTGTCTCGAGATAAAAAAAAAAACCTAATTGATCCTATGCCAGCCCTTTGCGATGGCTGTTGTTATAGACAGAGTGCTGACATGCCATTTCCAATTGAAAAAGTAGACTAAAACATTTCCTTAAGCTTTTATATACAAGTGCATATCCATCTTAAATGTAATTACTTAATTACCGTATACGGGTAATTCTTTGTTGGTTAGATCCATCTTAAGACATTGTTCTTTATTAGCAGATCCAGGTATTTACCTCTGTTCATTGTACACTTGGAGGATGAATCCATAAATACTTGATTGGGCTAATTTGTCTTTTTAAAACTGCATAGCTTCTGTAGTATTAATATGCAAAATGCTATAATGTGGAATAAGTAACTTGTTACTTTGAGAGAGAAATACATAAAAGCTCAAAAAAGAAGCTTGAATTGGAGTAAAATAATAAAAACTGTATTGGTGAATCTTTCTTTAAAGAATATAGTTCATCTTAGACATAGCAGATCTTCTTAATGTATCTGCTTTAGCAAAATTGTCCCAAGGGGAAGTGAATTTTAGATGCAGTTATGTCTAAATTCAGAGTTTTAGTGATTTCTCTAAATTGTAATGGTATGTAATATTAATATGCTTCCCTCTGTTGGAGGTAAGTTGACTCCTTTTTTCGTAAGAGCAAACTGTTGGGTATCAAAGTATCTTTCTCAAGTATTGTCTTTCTGTTTCCATCTGTAAAACAGATCAAAATGGACTTCTTTGAACTACTGGCTAATCACCACCTGGACAGTCAGTCTCGCTGGAGCAAAGTGAAGGACAAAGTAGAGACTGACCCCCGTTACAAAGCAGTGGATAGCTCTTCACAGAGGGAAGACCTTTTCAAACAGTACATCGAAAAAATAGCTAAGGTATGCATGTGACATTTGGAAGTATAACTTTGGATGTTCTGCTGGTCACATTGCTGTTAATGTGTGAAGTAACTAACTAGAAGATAGACTAATATGTGCTTTAAAGAGAATTCTGTACCATGGTTATTTGTAGAAGTACTCCAGAATGACAGCTTAAAACTTAGAAGTACTGTCCCCGGTGGCGGTGGTGGTGCTGCAGACGTTCATGGTACGTGTATGTGCATGTGTGTACACACACACACGATATTTGGGAGAGTTTATCCAGCAGGACAAGAAAGGCAGAGACTCATGTAAAGCCATTGGTTGTAAAAATGGTTGTGAAACTTCAGAAAATACCAACGCCGCATTGATTACTTCCTACCAGGATGATCAGAGTTTCCTTTACTGTGATTTTTTTGTATTAGCTCAGCTTCATTCAGGAATATAGATGGTTCATACACAGTTCCTTCACTGGTTCTTCTCTCTTAATCCAATATTCCTACCTTTCTCTTCCAGGCAATTAATGGTTGAGAATGTAAAACTGGGCTAACAAATAGTGATACCACTCTCCCCCATCCCCCCATTAGGCAGAGTTTGTCACTGTACGCATACAGCGTGCTCCTGAGAATAGTTGTTCTGTGATCAGCCTTGTGACCAAACTTGTCTTTCCCCCATGTAAAGCCTATAATGCTTCCACATAGCTGTTGAAGGAAAATTTTGTAATCCATAGATCTCAAATCACTTTGAAATATTTTGTTCCAAGATGCCTTTAGTTTGATAACCTTTTTATTCACTTACCTGTCCAATGAAAACGTGAAAGGTGTTGTGTTGTTTTTTATTGAGAAAAATTTGTTCTTATGTTTCAGAATTTAGATTCTGAAAAAGAAAAGGAGCTGGAAAGACAAGCTCGCATTGAGGCAAGCTTGCGTGAACGCGAAAGGGAAGTCCAGAAAGCTCGTTCGGAGCAAACCAAGGAAATTGATAGAGAACGTGAGCAGCACAAACGGGAAGAAGCTATACAAAACTTCAAAGCGCTTCTGTCTGACATGGTGAGATACGGACAGGCTTTCTCAGCTTGTCAGTGCATTCTTTTTCTAATTGTAGCACTGTGTAAAAGCTTTTTGGCATTTGTAGGTAAGTTTATATAGAAATAGAATCCTGTTGTCTTCTCCCCCCTCCCCTTCACTCACGGCTGGGAGTTTTGCCTTGGTTGGAACAGAACGCTTTGCCTTTAGCGCTCCTGTTCTGGCATCTTGCCCAGGCAGTTAGTGGACAGCATTATTCCAAATCTGGAGTCTCACAGGTGATGGCAGATTTTCAGTCATGCTACTGTAAACTTCTGTATGTCTGTTGGAAAATCAGATGTTGTTGAGCATTAGGAATAGTCCCCTTATTTTTGCATTGTCTCTTCTTCGTGCTCCAAACACAGCGCCTTTGTCTTACTGTTTCTCTGCTGTGTTGTATATTTACTTTGTTCTGCTGGTCAAGCTAATCTGTGAGAGAGTGGTTCCTGTGGCAAATGTCCTATTAAGAGGACAGGATTAGCAAAATGAGTTTTCACCAGTATGCGTACTATGCCCTTGCTCCCTGGTGTAAAGTATGGAATCCAAACACATTACTAGTGCTTGGTTCCACGTTTCAGCACTGAAATCTTTATAAGGGGGCAGGATATAAACAGCTCATCACTCTGGTCTGGTGGTATAGCTGGTAACATAAAGCAACAGCTCCTTGAGGATGCTCTCCGGACTAGAAGCAAGGCACTGCAAAGCTCCTCGTGTCTCTTTGGAAATAATTTTCTCTGAGGCTGCCTTTCCAGACAACTTACGGTTAATATAGTATGTTATGCACAGAGGAGGAGCTCTTTTTGAGAGAATGCTGAGCCAGGTCAGTGGGTTATCTCCGTCTGTATTTGAACTGATGCAAAGTAATTCCTTCTGCTGCTGCCTGTTTAGCATTTGTGGGGAGGCTACTAGTCTCTTACTTAAAAGCTGGTTTGGTTTTGTTTTTTTATCTTTAATTTGAACCTTAACTTAAGAGAAATAAAAAAACCCTTAGTAGTATGTAAGAAATATCAGTGAAGTGTAGAAAAAATGCTTTAAAAAAAAAAAAAATCTTTTTGGCTCAGGTGCGTTCTTCAGATGTGTCATGGTCTGATACCAGAAGGACTCTACGCAAAGATCATCGGTGGGAATCTGGCTCCTTGCTAGAAAGAGAAGAGAAAGAGAAGCTCTTCAATGAACACATTGAAGCACTTACCAAAAAGAAGAGGGAACACTTTAGGCAACTTCTGGATGAAACTTCAGCGGTAAGAGCTGTATATATTCAAACTTCAAATCTTTGCCAGCCTATTGTGATTTATCTTTTTCTAGTTTTCTGTCACACAATCTGATTTGTTTGTTTTTATTTCCAGGGCCCCTTTGCTTCACCACTATCTTTTCTTCTTCGTAACAAAATTTGTGCATTGTGTTTCCTTACCTGTGTATCTTGAGTGTTATTTTGGTTTGACATACAGTTCATTTACGTTTAAACTTCTAATCAGTGATCTTTTTATCTCCTGCAGGATGTTACATTTCTTCAACGCAGAGTTATTTGATGCTCTTTACTATATGGCATCTTGCTCTTTCAGATATCCAGTGTGTTTGTCTTAATGAATATCAGTATATAATCTTACAAAGTTCATCTGTTTTAATGTTCTCCTGGTTTATCTTGTGCTACTGAATCTGAACTTTTATTCTGTGTAATGGGATGGAGATGTATCACCTATTCTGTGTATTGTGGGGTTTTACTGAGTCTTGCTCTTTTTTTAGTTACGTGCCAATTCCAGTCAGCTTTCTTTCAACCCGAAAGTTTTTACCTCACTTTTTAATACATTAGTTAAAAGCGCTTAGAACATTAGGCAGATTTTTAGTGCGATAGAATAAAAGGGAAGACGTGTAACTCTGAAGCAAGTTTTCTGTAGGTAATTTTTAACAACACATTTATATACATAAATATGTACTAGAAAAAGACTTGGGGATGTAAATGGTGCTTGTGAGGACTTTGATCTGGAAACGCAATCTCCAAAATACTAAAGAAAAGTAAATATATAAAATGAACTAATTAAAAATACGAATGTGGTAGTATAAATAATCAAAATCCAACACTTAAAAATACAGCAACAACTTTGTCAGTGGACTTGGGAGATATTTAAAAGCTTCAGATGTAGTAATATTTACATTCCATATTCTTAGAATCTAATTTTCTTTTAATTTAACTATTTTTGCTTCTTTTGAAAGATAACTTTAACATCAACATGGAAAGAAGTGAAAAAAATCATTAAAGAAGATCCAAGGTGCATTAAATTTTCTTCGAGTGACAGGGTAAGCGGTTTGCATCACTGTTGCTAACTTTCAGTATGGTGCAGGATACAGAGAAAACAAGTTAATGGCTACCAGTGGTTTCTGCTTTATGTGAACAGAAGTATTATTGTTTAAATAAGTTTTTTTTTAAATTAAAAATGTAAAAGATAAGGAAAAATATAATTAACATGTAATTATTGCTTATGTTCAGTATGTTAAGTTGCGTGAAGTATTTAACCTGCATCCAGTGTTTTAAGCTTATCTTTTTTTTCTTTCAGAAAAAACAAAGGGAGTTTGAGGAATACATTAGAGACAAATACATTACTGCCAAAGCTGACTTCCGAACACTATTGAAAGAGACCAAATTTATAACGTACAGGTGTGTAGCATAATGTCAACAAAGGACTAATCTTTTTATTGTGCTTTTCCATCTAAATGGCAACAAACTGATGTCTGTTTTTTCTCCCAGCATAAGGTGATGTCTAAGTTACACTTTTACAACCTTTCATAACGTGGCCCAAAAAAAAAAAAAAGTCTGCAGCAGCTAGAGACCTCTTTTTGCTTTATTTTGACATTTCTGCTGCTGACTAACAAGTTATGAAAATCAAACCAAGACAGGTTTGAGGTTCTCTTTGGCTTCGGAATGGTGTTCTGTGAAGAGTACTCTGTGCTGTCAGGCATTAAATGCATTTTGTGGTGAGGGCCATCTTTCATGTTTGTAGTAGTCCTTGGTTTAGACTCAGGAGGGATCAATACTGAAGTGAGGACTCTGTTTCAGGACTGTGGAGTAGACAGCAAAGAAATACTGCCTCCATTGAAATTTTATTAAAAAAAACATAAATAATTTGCCTGGTTTGTGTGGGAGGTTGTCATTGACTGGGTGTGCCTTACAGGTGGGTAGATTTACAAAGTGGTTGACTTTTTCACTCGGCTTCAGGGGATGGTAAGGCTGATGTAGAATCTTGGGTATGGACCAAAACAAGTTTCCTGTCAGAAACATGAGTTCGCTTAAAAAGGAGAAAATGAAATTAAGTTCTTTGGATGAACCGCGTGGTTCCTTTGCGGTCAGTGCCGTAGTGTATTGGAGTTCTGGTTTCAGGTGGTGCTGCTGTCAGCGAGCTGGATGACACTGCTCTAAGCTGGTGTTGTGGACACAGTTAATCAGTCAAGCCAGACCGTAGCTGAGACTTCCACATCCAAATTCTGATTGCCTCATTCAGATGCTGAAATTAAAACTCTTTTTTTTTTTTTTTTTGGGCCCCTCTAGGCTTTAGCATTTGTATAGTTGTGTGGTGCTGTACAAGGCCCTTGCAGCCAGACATGGGTCTTCCATGGTGCTTAATTCATGTAGCCCAAATGTAGGCAACAAGCCTTTATTTCCTGTGCACAGAGTACTGTTGATGTGCCTAGTCCTGACCTAAAGCGACATCTTTCTAGCCAAGAAGGTAGCCAGGTCTCTGCACCCTTTCCATGCTTTGCCTTTCATTGACTCTACCTGTGCTTTCTTATGGCGAGGGCAGCTTCTGTGAGCTTGCAGCAGCCACTGCCGGGAGCAGGGTGGGTTCCCGGGCCGTTCTGTGCGTCCTGGACCACTCTTAGGTGGTAATTCTTACGCTTGCTTTCAGATCCAAAAAGTTGATCCAGGAGTCAGATCAGCATCTGAAAGACGTAGAGAAGATATTACAAAACGACAAGCGATATCTGGTACTTGACTGTGTACCAGAAGAGAGACGCAAACTCATTGTGTCCTATGTAGATGACCTGGACCGTCGAGGCCCGCCTCCACCACCCACAGCTTCAGAGCCTACAAGACGAACAACAAAATAGTTACGAAATACTCTTAAGCCAAGGGTATCTGTTAAATCAAAAAGCTTGCATGAGCCATCTGTCAGGTTTATACATATACATTACCGTGAATATATTGCAAAACCATCTGAGGAGCAGAGGAAGAAGCAGCATTTGTGAACATAAAATGGTCTCAGGGGGTCGGGGGGAGACGACCAACAACAGAAAACCCATGTTAAAGGTATTTATGAGTTTCTTTGGGGCGTGACTGACAAAAATCCAAACGTGGGGGCTGTTTGGTAACTTCAGATCTCAGAGCAATGCAGTATCTGTATATGAGGTGTGGATGTCTGATATTTGGAGGCATTCTTCTCAGCGGTGTCATACACGTGAGTCTTAAGGATGACCACGCTTGTGGTTTGAACTTGCACTGCGTGTGTCCCGCCAGCTTCCCCATGGTTCCCTGGCTGAGGAGGTGAAATGCTGTCTGATTATTGATTACTGAAGACCGTGTTCTGGAAACACAAGTTCCAGTTCTCTGCTTGCTTTCACCCTTGTAAATGGAACTAAATCTATTAAAGCCAGAGTTAGAACTGAGAGAGGAGAATTAGGACTAAGAGACCAAATTAAATTTGTTCACAGGTCTGCTTTATTCCTTACCCTATCCATGAATTAGACGCAAAATCAGGTTGCTCTGCCCAAGTGAAGATTTGCCTAATAATTTTTACTCGAAGTTGGAAACACTTGGTAAATAACAGTGGTTACTGGAGCAGAACAGGAACGGTTGTATAAACACATTTTTATTTACGATAAAGTGATCTTTACATACTTCTGGATTAGACTGTGGATTTCCCCTCTGGGCAATTCTTGTAAACTATACTCCTGTTTTGAATGTTAAACTTGTGTTTCTAAAGTTTAATTTTGAAATGTTGGGATTGTTCAGTTTATGTATTTGAACTACAATAAACCAACCCTTTTTATATATGGATTGTACAGGCCTAATACCAGTTTTTGTTGGATTTTGTTGGACTTGTGAATTTAAGAGTAAAGCAAACAACTGAAGTCATATCATGTAAATTCTTGGCTGTGTTTGGCAAAACAGTACCTGAGGCAGTGCGCGACATCGGATTAAACTTCAGCAGCAGCATTCAGGTCAGCATACGTGCAATGGGGTGCCAAGCAAAATTATTTTCTAGTTTAGTTCTTTAGTATTTTGCCTAAATATGACATGGTAGGGATGGTGGTGTCAAAGTATTTCCTTCTGTTTCTTCTGTATTTGACACGGATCTCTCCCTCTGAGCTGAGGGGTGGGGAAGGATTGATTCTTCCATGAGAAATTGATTTTTCCCCCCTCCCCAGCAATTACTGTTTCAGTGGCCAGCCGTTGGGACTCGCAGTCTGAGCACCAAGACCAAGGTTGTTCACAAAGATTTAGACAGCTTGGGAGGGATTTGTACTGCTGACATCTGAAACATGGTGCTTGTAGTAAGAACGTACTCCCTAAATTCAAGGCAAGCATCCCTCCTCTCGGTACCTGCCCGCTCCGTCAGTGCAGCAGTACCCAAGCCATCGGAAACCAGTGCAGGGCAACGCCTTTGCTGGGAGTGGAAGTGGAGTGAGGAGGATTGTAGCTTGTGTAAGGCCAAAAATGTTAGACCCTGTGGGAAGTGTAGTTCCCAGCTGGAAAGTGCAGACATTAAGCCCTGACTGTACTCCTGCCGCAGGAGCAGGGGGAGGCTGCGGAGCGCTCTGCAGGGCCCGTGGGGAGCCCTGCCTGCCCGTGCTGTCGGACCTGGAGAAATCCCACGGCTGCTGCTGATAAACTTGTGTTAGCAAGTCAGAACCTCAGCAGTTTTCTTAATTTTTAACAAGTTCTTGATGTGTTTGAATGTCAGATGTCTCGAGCGTTTTGGATTACCTGCTTCAGGCAGATAGAGTTCACATTTATTTGTTCACATCTGAAAACAGGAGCGAGGGGCACGAGGAACTGGTGCGGGAACACAGTACAAGGTGAGCAGGAACGGTTTTGCCAAGAACAAAACGTCAAAGTTTTTGCTGCAATAATATCAATTCAGAAAAAAAGCGTTGGTTCTGCATTGAGCTGCCCCGAGCCGGACCCATCCTTTGCAGCAGGCAGCCTTTGCCCTGACCAGCCAAGGCCGCGCACTGGTGCTGTGCAGGGCACCTGAAGCAAACCCCGCAGCGGCCAGTGGTGGCTCTGGGGGCCAGGGGGCGGCTGGGGGGGCCCAGCAGTGGCCGCCCCACTCCCCGCTGCCACGGCTGCGCGTGCCTGTCACCAGCCAGACCCCTACTGGGCAAACAGAAGAGCAAGAGTGTTTTTTATTTTTAAATCTCTTAAAAATCTTTGTTTTCATGAACAAACTAAGAATCTACTAAGCCACAGCACGGGAAGGTTTTGGTAGTGGAGGGTGAGATGACTCCAGCTGGCAGCGGTGACGCTAACAGACTCGTCAGCTCATTTTGGCGCTCATCCTCTGAACCCCTGGGCGCAGGGGACCCCACAGCCGTCCCTGCACACAGCGTGGCCTGTCGTGTCTCCTCGAGTGCCCTCGGCAACAGCACCGTGTCCGTGGCCACATCTGGGAAGCGGAAGGTGCCCAGAGTAGGACGCTGGTGGTGGGAATTGTGGCAGCATGCCCGCTCGCTGTGAGAGCACGACAGAGCCCCGCTCTGCCCAGTAAGTGAATTTCTTTTCACTCAGCTTAGCGCAGCCCTGTAGGAAGCCATGCATTTTTTATGGATGTTTTAAAATATGGTTAACTTGTTCATTAAATGAATAAGATTGCTATTAATTTTAATTTATCTTGTTTATGGAGACCAGATGTTCATTAACATTTATTTATCTGCTTATTCTGCGGATAAAGTAATTACGCCTAATGTACCGGGCCCCTGGTGGGGGGCGTGCTGCCGCTGCAGCGCAGTGATGCTGCCGGAGGATGCGCTGGTGATGCACGACATCATGGAACTGGTCCCCTGTCCCTGCAGCACCTTGGGCACAGTTCCCTGTGTCCCCCAGCTGCAGGGACAGTCCATGGGATCCTCTTCCAGAGAGGAGGTTGGATATAAGGGATGCTGACAACTTTTCTAGCACCTTTCCTGTTACAGCCTGGCAGCTCCCCCCGTCTGGCCCTGCTGTCGGGCTGCTGCTGAGGCTGAGTGCTCACAACGGGCTGGCAGGGCAGGAGTTAAATCTAAGCAAGCTTAGGAAAGGGAAAAAAAAACTCAAATTTTGAAAAGCTGGACTAACTTCCAGGGTAAGGAGCTGCAGTCTGTCACCCACTGGAGGGCCAGTCATATCTCGGGATTTAGTTTCTTTTGGGTTGTGTCACCGTTTCCAGCTGCTGAGCAGAGACCTGGCACTGCTCCATGGTTTCTTCTTCGGTCTCCTGCTTTGGGAGCCAGCACAGAACCGGAGCCTTCCCGAGGGATCGCAGCTGGTCTTGCAAACAGCAATAAATGGGGCCCTGTAACCCTGCTCCTTCCCCAGACTGGCAGCACCGGGGGTCCCTCAAAGCCACCGCAGCTCCCGGGCTGTGCCACCTGTGCCGCCAACCCGACCTGCGCCTCTCACGGCTCCTGGGGACGTTCCCAGCCGTTGGGGATGTTTCCCAGCTGGTGCCCCCCCCCCGGGACGCAGTGCCCGATGGCCCCAGCTCCATAACCCTGCCCTCCGCCCACTCCGCTTTCAGCTGCCTCCACGGCAATAACGCACGGCAACAACGCACAGCAACGCACCCAAGTCCCACTATTACTTTGCAACAGTAAGCGGATATCAACTCAACAGAGCTATTCCTTCTCGCTTTCTTCATGTTCGTTCCACAAGCTTTAGAAATAAGTTATTTTCCTGTGCGTGACATGGCTGCTGGCCTGCGGTGGGTCCAGCCATGCACGCCAGGTGGGTGAGTGCCTTCACCATGGCGGTTCGCCCTTGTACCCTGCTGCAGCCGAGCTGTGCTCAGTGCCCAGCCTGGCACGAACCGAGCCGTGTGGGAGTGAGCCAGGGATTCACAGCGAAGAAAGGAAAGGTGAAATAGGTCCTTCCAGAAAGGTGGGAAGATATTTATTATAAACTTTGTGATTTTAGTTTGATGCCACAGCTCACCGTGCTGTGGGAGGGTGGCTGTTGCTGAGCAGTGATTATAGTCAGTGGCTAATGACAGTCATAGAAATCTAATTTTATCACATCCCATCTTCACTTGTGGGAGCGAATAAGAACTTCCAGTCCCAAATAATCTGTTTAAAATTTAATTTTGAGCTGATATGCACTGGTTTTCTAATGATATTTCACTGATGTGCCCTTGCTTCCTTGGCGCAGGCGTGCCGGCGGCAGACTGGGGTGCTGGGCTGCACAGAGAGGTGAGCAGGGCTGGGGGGGACGGGACCCAGCTCAGACGTGGCCGGGGAGGATGGGACCCAGCTCAGACGTGGCCGGGGAGGACGGGACTCAGCTCAGACGTGGTCAGGGGGGACGGGACTCAGCTCAGACATGGCCAGGGGGGACGAGACCCAGCTCAGACGTGGTCAGGGGGGACGGGACTCAGCTCAGATGTGGTCCCAAGCAGGCTCTGCAGCAACACAGGAGGGAGCTGCGACGGGGAAGGGAGGAGGCGTTCAGTGGGACTCTGGTGCAGGATGTTTCGAGTGCTGTCCCAAAGGACTCCAGGCGCTTGAAGGACGTGGGGGACCCCAGTTATTGTGAAGAGAAGCATCAGGGACGCGGCTGCAGGACCCCCCTGTGCCCTGCACCAGGAGCCCAGCACCTTCGTGCCTTGCAGAGCAGCCAGGCTCAGCTTTGATCTCAGCAACTTGAAGGAGCGATGCCACAGCCTTTTAAAATGCCTGGAAACGAGAGCTCCACGTTTCGGGCTTCCCCTCCCGCCACGTGTAACCCCATTGACTGCAGCACGGCCTCAGCCATGACCGATCCTTCCATGAGCTGAGTTTCAGCGCTCTACACGTAACTTGATTTTCACAAAGGTAAAGACAAATATGGCTGTTTTAAATGTCAAAATCCTTGCTGGAAATGTTGAAGAACTCTCTGAGTATCTGGGACTTACCCAGAGGCTCTTTGGAAGAAAACGCTCGGTGCCTTCCCCGCCACCCCGCTTGGCCATACACTGCACACCGAGGAATAAACCTGGGCTTGAATCTGTGCACATTTCAGTAAATTAAGGTC